CCCCCCCCCCCCCCAACTCCCAAGTACAACAGAGGTGCGTTCTGAGCTTTCAATTCCTTTTTTTTTTCTTGTTCTTGTCTCCGAATTTCAAATCCTTAGAGGTGTAGAGATCGAGAATTTGTCGGAGTATGGAATTTATTGTAGAACTTTCGAAGGAATTCATCTTAGCCTCTTCTGTTCGATAGGATCCGCCTTGAATTTCGTGGAAATTTGGTTCTTTCTTTTGCGTTACTGTTGTGAATTTTGAGAATAAGAGCTCAATTTGGGTGAAAGGGATTTCTGGGTTTGGATTCATAAAGGAGAAGAAAAGAAGGTTGCTTCTCTTTGCCGGAAGCGACGCATTGCTTCTTCTTTGGAAAGTAAACGTTGTTTCTTCTGCTGCCTTCTTGTTTATATGGGATTATATTTTAAGTTTCCTTCATGTGTGTCGTTTCTGAGCTCGGCAGAAGTAACCTAACTGGATAACCATAAAGGATCGGGCTTTGCTTATTTGATACAAGACCTCTTGCGACTCTCAAGTTTTTTTTTTTGGAGTTCAGTAACGCCTGTTCCCGTGTCCTTTATTTTGCGTTCTGGCAGGTATGTTTTATCACACTTATGTGTGAACTGATTTAGGAGTTATTTATCGACATGGAATCAACAACGGATGATAAAAATGAGACAAGGAGTGAGAGACTCGAACAGGACACTGAGAAGGAAATTGAGAGTGGAGACCAGAGTCAGGCTAATGTAAAGGAAACGGAGAATAAGAATCCAGGAGAGGCAGTAAGAGAAGTAGCCTCTGTCGGGGAGCATCGTGATTCTCCCTGCCCAATGGTTGTTGAGGACGGTACTCCTGCTTCTCAAAGTGATAGTGTTGCCCTCGAGACTGGAACCGAGGATACGAATCCAGGGAAGGATGTAGAAGAAGTAGCTTCAGCTGGAGAGCTTCATGTTTCTCCTTGCCCCATGGTTGTTGAGGAAGGTACTGCGTTTGATTCTCAGAGTGACAGTGTTACCCTAGAGACTGGAACCAAGGATGATGAGTCGAAAATGGATACAGAGACAACTCATGTTGACAAGAATACTCAACTAGTGAACAGTGTGTGTCTAAATCCTTCTCCTTCAGCGGCTTTAGACACTGACAAGGGCTTAGTCAGTCCTACCATGGAAGCCTTGGTAGAACAGACTGATGTGTCACTGTCTAGCCTAGTAAGTTCAAATATCTCAAAAGATGGAGTAGATTCTGCGAAGGTTGGTGGAGACACTGCCCGTGATAAAACGGCAGCAAAACCTGATTCTAAGTTAACAGAAGTCGATGTCAAAGAACCTGTGGAACCAGATGCTAAAATGGTACTGGAGGTTAGCAAAGCTTCAGAAAAACCAAACTCAAAGTTCTCAGGAGACCATGTCAATGATCCGGTCATACCCGATACCAAAACCGTGAAGGAGAATGATCATATGATAGACGAGACTGACACTGTGAATTCTGAAGCTGTACCGAATCACGAGAATGAGCTATCCAAGCCTGAAATGGAAACCTCAACAAACTCGGAAAAAGGGCCTGACTTGCCTGTCACCGACACCTTAACTGACACAGAAAAAGGGCCTGATGTGTTGGTTGCTGGGCCCTCAGAGTTCAGTGAGAAGGGGCTATCTAGCGTGCCTGCTAGCCTAACTTCTGATCATGACAAAGAAATTGCCACTCAGGAGGCTGAACCTAGAAAAGATCTCAAAGATGAAGTTCCTGATTCTGAAGCGTTTGCTGATGCTAGTGCTGACTCCATTATTTACGAGGATGTCAATGTTGAGCCTGCTACAGACACGGAAAAGAAAGATAATTCCGGAGCTCCCCAAGGGAAAGACAGTGATAATGAGGATGCATCTATGAAACATGATAATTCAGAACCCATTATTCCTTGTCTTGCATCTTCCGATGTAAAGTCTGAAGAGGGACGGCAAAGAGCTTTGAACAACGGGGTCCACAAAATAGACGCAGCGCCACCTACCTCTGATGGGACCATGAACTTAAGGCATTCATCCCTCTTGGATGATATGTCTGAGGGCAATGAATCAGGATCAGAAGAGGAGCAATCTGTTTTCATGAAAGAACTAGAGAATTTCTTCAGAGAGAGAAGCATGGAATTTAAACCACCAAAGTTTTATGGAGAGGGACTTAACTGTCTCAAGTAAGTTTGTTTTCCATCTTAATTTTAGTTTTAGAATATTATAAATTCCAAAATTTTCAATGCGTGTTGATGTAAGGTTAACTTGTATGGCACAAGGTTGTGGAGAGCAGTAACTAGATTGGGTGGATATGACAAGGTATGCTGCAGCACTTTGAAGGCATTTGATGGACATTGAACATCTTTTGTTTTTTCTCATGGCATGCATTCTGGATTTTGTTTATCTAGCAAGGTAGCAACACTACTTTTAGAGTTACTTAATAGAAGTACTTCACACTTTTACACCGCGCAGGTTACTGCCTGCAAGTTGTGGCGACAAGTAGGAGAGTCTTTCAGACCTCCAAAGTAAGTTTTAGATTTCAGCCATTTTCTTTTGTGCCTTTTTTAGCGAATCTCTGGGTTCCTATAATCCAATTGTTGCACAGGACATGCACAACAGTGTCATGGACTTTCCGAGGTTTCTATGAAAAGGTGAGATTGTTATACATCCATTTCTCTTTATGTGCCTTTGACTTAATGCATTTGATTTCCGTGTATCTGTGCTAGCTTGGATCTGTGCACCTCATTTCCTTTTGAAAGATACTTTATTTCATTGCACATGGACCAGACAAAACAACTAATGAATGTTCTGAATGGTACATATGCCTTAGAATTTTGTGCAGTCTTAGATTGTTCTACTCTTTGTTTTTTTTTAAATTCTTTAGGCTCTTCTTGAATATGAGAGGCATAAAGTCAATGGAGGCGAACTTCAAATACCCCTTGCTTCCAATTCAGAACCAATGAATATGGATAATCAGGTAAAATCCAGGAAATGATACAATGCATTTATACTTGCAGTTATATCTTGTGTTTTACTGTTAACGTTTTTGTTATAGCTTAACCCGCTGGCTTTGTTTCTGATTCTGGCACTAGGCTCCTGGGTCAGGTAGAGCTAGAAGAGATGCTGCAGCTCGTGCAATGCAAGGTTGGCACTCGCAGCGTGTTCTTGGAAACGATGAAGTTAGTGACCCGATAATAAAGATCTGTCAGAAACTCTATTGTCAAGGACTGACTCATTTTGCAATCCGTTTGTCTTTGTATCTTTGATGCCATTGTTAAAACACATGGTTTTGTAATTTGTAGGATAAGAGTTCAGTTCCTCAACAGAAGAAACAGATCGGAACTCCTGGTATGACTTCTGTGAGATGCGAAAGTATTTAAAATGGGTTTTCATTCATTATTTCTATATGGGCTCTGTTAGTTAGCTACGATCTCACCGAATGTTCAGGTTTATTTAAACGTAAGAGGCCAGTGTCCACAGAACATGGTGCAAAATCTCCCCGCACCCAAGTGTCTAAACCTCTGTAAGATTCCTTGTTCTACCTGTTGTTCTATTTTTGTGCACTGACTACTCAGCTGTGCGATGAAATTGCGTTTGTGTTTTTTATTTCTCGTTGAATTCCTTTGCTGATGCATTTTCTAGGTTGGATGTGACAGTTGTTGATGTCGGGCCACCAGCTGACTGGGTGAAGGTTAACGTACAGCGGACAGTAAGATCCTTGCCACCTTCTTGAAAATCTCAACATGCCCTGCTTAATTTAAATGTGTTAATAAAGGTTTTATCATTTGCAGAAAGATTGCTTTGAGGTGTATGCTCTAGTTCCAGGACTCCTCCGGGAAGAGGTCAGTTTGCAGACTCCTGGATAGGAGCTATCTTCTCGTTTTTCGGTTGCTCATTACATTTCCAATCAATAACTTTAGTGTCGTTCTTAAACTATTCGGGTTTTATTCTTATTTTTTTCTCCGGGGAAACAACTCAGGTCCGAGTCCAGTCAGATCCAGCAGGGCGATTGGTTATAAGCGGTGAACCCGAGAATCCTGACAATCTTTGGGGAGCCACTCCTTTTAAAAAGGTAAATACAGATCTTTCATTTGGGCTATTGGAGATGTTTCCTTGCGTATTTTCCTTTGACATTCTGCAGAAAATGTTCCATTACTTCTAACCCGAAATCACTGGCTCGGATTCTGTCAATCACACTTGACATGTAACTGATGAGTAACAGGTAGTAAGCTTGCCGGCTAGGATCGACCCACATCACACATCTGCAGTAGTGACTCTAAACGGGCAGTTATTCGTCCGAGCCCCCCTCGAGCAATCTGACTAAATCCCGGGTTTCGCAGTTCCTGCAAATAAAACGAAAGCGAGCCTTCCTTGTGCGGCACTGCCAAATAGATTTGGTTGGGAGGAAGAGATCCGGTTGATAAAAAGGTTAGGAACTAATAAGGAGTCGATGTGTCACTGTCTGTATATCCGGGTGGTATAAGAACCAGAAGATGGGTATGTGCCCATGTTCCATTTACAGTAGAGAGTTGATGATGTCGGAGAGAGAGTAATGTGATATCAGAGATTTTGTCATAACGTTAAATTTAATTATAAATTTAATGTTATGAGTAATGCGATCATTATATGTCGACTGTAATTTTGGCCATATGGTTACAGATAAGAAGATAATCCGATGGGTATTTGCAACAGTCGAAACTGGATTACTTTGCGATAAATTCAATGCGAACACTGAATTTCGAAATCGGCTATTTATAGAAAATCTTCGTTAACCAAAGCACGAACATTTGCACGATTTGACTCCACGTCTCCTCCTTTTGATCAGCGCCGCCGTTGATTTCCGCGTTCTCCTCCGTCATGGATGGCCTCGACACCCAACACACCAAGCTCTGCATCGTCGGCAGCGGTCCGGCGGCTCATACGGCTGCGATCTACGCCGCTAGGGCTGAGCTGAAGCCTCTTCTCTTCGAGGGATGGATGGCCAACGACATCGCTCCCGGCGGCCAACTCACCACCACCACCGACGTCGAGAACTTCCCTGGTTTCCCCGACGGCATCCTCGGTGCCGAGATCGTCGATCGCTTCCGCCAACAGTCCCTCCGATTCGGCACCACCATCTTCACCGAGACGGTCTCTAGGGTTGATTTCTCCTCCAAGCCGTTCAAGCTCTTTACCGACTCAAGAACCGTCCTCGCCGACGCTGTGATAATCGCGACGGGAGCCGTCGCCAAGCGGCTTCATTTCCCTGGCTCCGGCGAGGGTTCAGGCGGTTTCTGGAACCGCGGTATCTCCGCATGTGCCGTCTGCGATGGAGCCGCTCCGATTTTCCGGAACAAACCTCTTGCAGTCATCGGCGGCGGAGATTCGGCTATGGAAGAGGCGAATTTCCTCACCAAGTACGGGTCCAAGGTTTACATACTTCACAGGAGGGAAACATTCAGGGCGTCGAAGATCATGCAGCAGCGGGCGTTGTCAAACCCTAAGATCGAAGTAATCTGGAACTCGGTGGTAGAAGAAGCGTACGGGGACGGCGAGAAAGGCGTCCTCGGAGGGTTGAAGGTGAAGAACGTAGTGACCGGAGAGGTCTCAGACTTGAAGGTCTCTGGACTGTTCTTCGCCATTGGTCATGAGCCAGCGACGAAGTTCTTAGATGGCCAGCTTCAGCTTGATGCAGATGGTTATGTAGTGACGAAACCGGGCACTACCCAGACAAGCGTCGCCGGAGTTTTCGCCGCCGGCGATGTCCAGGACAAGAAATATAGACAGGCCATTACTGCTGCAGGAACAGGTTTGCACTTCCCATTACCCTTTCTTTCCGAAAACAAATGATTGCTGCAAAAGGACATTGATCTTCGTGTATAATGGTTAGAAGCATATGAGTATGCATGAATTTGGATGGTGGCATAGCATTTCTTTGTAGGAAATTCAGTTTTCCAGTTAACATTAGTGTTTGTACTGAATCATATATTGCACTACAACGATGACTATGTCACGGGTTTGTGGCTTACGCACCAGGATTCCAACACTCTCTGTGTTCTCCGAGTTCTGCACATTTGAAGCCTTTCTATATCATGTTAGTGGCTTAAAGATATAGAATTTAAGCCCAAGGTCTTGTTAGATTCGTCTTCCTCTAGCTGGATTATGTCTTTTGTTTGGAGCTAGAGACAAATCCTTGTTCATATCCATTCTGTTGCTAGCTTTGATACAGAGTGCTAGTTGAGATTATCTCTTCCATGTAAATTGCTAGAAATCTTTTATAGAAATGGCCCGAGCCATCACTGTAAGGATTGCTCAGGTTGCATAATCTTTTCTCATAACAACTCACTTCAAAATCTATCTATCTCTATTGTTTCAAAGATTGGATCTTTTTTTCCCTAAACCGAGCTCGACTCGTTGAATTGGCGCAGGGTGCATGGCAGCTTTGGATGCCGAGCATTACTTGCAGGAGATCGGATCTCAGCAGGGTAAGAGTGAGTGACTGAGAACCACCCGGAAACCGATAAAATAAAAAAAGCTCATGGAAACATCATATTTGGTTGTCCATTCTTGAACCGAGACATTGTGTTTGAGCAGAGAATATGATTTTGATGTCATGACCAAATTTAAAGGGACATTTTTTAGTTGTGTTTTATCATATGTTTGCAGCAGCAACTAAGTTTGAGCCTCTTTGGAGTGAAATTGGTCCGTACTGTGCCAAGTTGTAACTCTACCTTGTCAGTGTCACTGCTACGACCAACTTCTCTACAATTGTTTCAGGTTATTTTTATTTTCACTTTTTTTTTGTTGAACATTGTTATCATATGCTTCAACAGTAGAATTATTTCTAAAAAAAATACACAAAGTTCTGTAAAACCCTTTCAAATTTGTTAAGTTTATTTCAGATTAACAAATTAGATTCAATTTTTCTTACAATATAATGCACAAAAGTTTTCGGTACATTTTCATGGAAGTTATAAACTATCGGATTTCAATAGCTAAAATATGATATCCATGTCATGCGGTCTTTACAAAAGCCAATGCATATACAGAGACCATAGAAATAGTTTGAACAATCTGTAATCAAATTCATGGAGATGGTGATGGATCCGTATTCCATATTATAGATCGTCGCCATCTCTATTCTGTGGTTTCAATCTGTAATCAAATTTCTTGGAGAGAAAAAAAAAAGAATCTATTTGGATGGATTGTGAGAGCTTTTAGTTCATTTGTCTACTTCTGTTTGCTGTGACCTCCTCCTCCCCCCACTCGTAGACCTGAACCAATACGTTTTGAGTTCCGTATCGTAAGTACATGTCATAAGCTCATCTACTTCGTTTCCATTGTCGGTCGGTCCACAGATACTGGAACAGGTAAAAATCATTCAAGATTCAGAGACAGGAGGAGGGTCCATTACCATCCATTTAAAACCTTGATGGTGTCGTAGAAGAACCATTGCAATGTCACTGAAGGCCCCACAAGCAATATCCGGACAGGAAGACTTCTCGTGAACAGATCCCATATCCCGGTTCCCCGTACAACCTTAAATTTCCCCCCAAGAGCCAATCAACAAAAAACCGGGTTCTCTGTTCCTCCAAGAATCCGATAGGGTAAGATGGAAGGAAGAGAAGAAGAATACCTACCTGCATTATAGTGTCGGCTTTCTTGTTGTACAGTGCGGAGACTATAAGATCGGAAGGGTTGGTTATGACGCTACCGACTGATCCAGCAGTGTAGCCAGCTAGACATGTAACCCCGAGCTGCTG